ATTAAAGTTGGTGAGTGGGAAGTCAACATCCATGTTTGAAGTCTGAGGATCCTGTACCATCTGGATTATTTTCCAAAGCATAGGAACTGCTATCCAGTATCACGTTGGAAGAGGCTCCCGACGGATAAATCTCACCCCAGAATAAAGTCACTGGTTTGGTTTTTTAGTGTTTTTTTTTTTTTTTCTCTCAGAACTGTCAATAGTCAAGTAAACAAATTTATTAAATCCAACAGCAGGTAACCTTCCAAATAAAAAAAACATCAAAAGAAAAATGTAGACAAAGACAAAAGTGTGTGTAACAAGTTAATAAAAATATTCAAGGGGCCATTTGGAGAGTGCAACAGTGCAGAGAATACAAACAAAAGTATTGAGTTTGTACAACCTCAAGAAACAGACACACTGGTCACAAACCAAGAGGAATCCACAAAGGTGGAGGGTCACATGAGTAGTGGACTCATCACCTCAGTGGGTTAAGGCAGGGTATCTGTAGGACCAATTCATCCAAGCCCCCATTTGCCTATTGTTTCAAGTTCCCCCTTTGAAACCTAGAATCATATTCATTAGTGCAACAGGTAAGAGCAATTAATTACAGACTCGGGGCTGGGGACCAGAATCAGAGGGAAGACACTTCTCCCAGAATAAATTGGGGGGTGGGGGGAGAGACACAGCATCTGCTGAATGGCTTCCTTTGGCAATATCCAAGAATATGTTGTAGTAAGTAGTAAAAAGGGAAGGTGGGTGGTAAAAGAAGGTATCCGTGAAAGCAGGCTTAGTTTCCAAGAGGAATAGGGAGGATGTGAGGCCCCAGCACCTGGATCAGAAGCAGAACCTGATGGTTACTCAAAGCTATTTGAATCATCTTGGCTTCTGCAACCAGTGCTCAAGCATAACTTTTTCAATAAGGAAAAACACCTGCAGATCCTCACTAAAACACGGCCCCCAGTCCAGGTTAAACTGGATATATGCTGTAATTATAGCTAACTATAGAAATAAACTCTGAAAGGGGGTGGGTGGGAACCCCCTCTAGGATTCAGAAAACAGATTATGGAGTAGGAGGAGGATCAATGAGATATGTCCTCAAATGAGTCCCAATTAACACACTTTAATAACCTTTAATAGTCCTTTCGGCTGTTTAAACAAGTTCCTGCTAGAGTTCCCCGCAAAGGAAGACCTTTGTCAGTTACCAAGATGTTCAAGTCATCACTAAGCAAACATTAAGAGACAAGAAGAATGCAGAGCAGGCAGCTAAAACAAAACAAACCTAGCAGCAGCTTCTCTCCAGCCCTTGTAATTGTATAATTGGGTCTACTCCTGGGCTTCACTACACTCAAGACTTGTCTTTAAACGTGGCAAACCAGTCCTAAATACAGATGTTTTGGTTTTTAAACTTTTAGACCCAAGTCCTTATCCCAGTCATTTCCCACCGTTGTTTGATGCAGTTTGGCATAGTACAGCACTTGAGGCCATCACATGAACTATGGAGTTCCACACCCTGCAGGCTCCAGCACTGAGGCCTGAATTTTGGCACCAGCCTCTGGGAGACCAGAACTGTATCAAAGATTGACTAAAACTCTGTGGCTTAATCCCTTCTTCCTTTCCAGGAAGGCTAGTTTGTGCCTTCCTTAGGGAAGTTTAATACTGAAAACACTGCCTTGTACATTTCCAGTTGGATTTCTTGGGGCCTCTGGGCTTGGGTGAAATTTGGATCTTCACCCAGCTCTAATTTTTCTTATCAGAAGAGTAGATAAGGGAGTCTTGGACCCAACTTACACATGTGGGCACAACTGGCACAGATGAGGGAAAACTGTTGAGGCATCCAGCTGAAGCATAGCAAAGTGTCATTGCAGGAGGTGGGGTTAATGATACATTCAAATATGGCAGGGATGGGGGAATAGCATTTCAATGAAGCAACACTTCATCTCATACAGCTTTCTAATCCCTGAAGAAACACCACGAACTCAAAGCCATTTGCCAAAAACGAAGAATTTCCCAATACATATTCAGTTTCTTGTAGTCACCCTCAGATATTTGCCTATTTTCAAAATGGCATCCACATCCTGCCCCTCTTCACACCACCCTGATATTACATCGTTAAAGTGAGGAGCGCACTGGCTTACCTGAGGGGCATGCATTTGGCCTCTTCCACACAATTATACTGCTCATTTAACAGCAAACCTATTTCTAGGTTAAAAGGAACAGGGACCTTTCATTTCCCAATAGTGTGACTACAAACCCTATGCACACCCCACCTTCGATCCCTTTGCAAAAAAAACCTGCTTTTCCTGTGGTCAAGTCAAACGCTGGCCCAGAGCCACCACAGAAGCTTGGAATTCCTTGCATCAGGAAAGCCAACCTGGATAGAACCTGTAAGTCCTTCCCTAACTGCCCCCCTTTTCTGGGTTTCTCAATTGCATTTCTGCAACAAATAGGTCATGAAAAATATAACCAAAAATAATTTAGTGGCTCTTTTTGTGGGGAGGCAGAATAGCTAACAAAATCCACCCATTCTAGCACACCTAATGCATGGAATGCCACCTTGTAGGCTGGGGAAGGAATCCAGTTCCTCCAGAGTCCTCAGGATCCTCGGTGCCTCCCTCTTTTGTGCACTTCTCTCCATATACCCTTGTAATTAAGACAGAAGAGAGCCTTACCTGGCTAGGAGCAGCCTGCCTTTTCCCTTTTTAAACCTCTACCCAGTCTAGAATGAGGAAAAACTAGGGGTTGCAGGACTGGCTAGATGAGAAGGCAGTCTCTCTTAAGACCTCAGTCTGGGCACCCTGACTACAGTTGAGCCCACAGAACCTGCTGGGGCCCCTAGAAACTCTCTTTATATAAGGAGCTTGTGTTTTAGGCTAGAACAAAGCCAGACATCTGGCCTGAGACCCTCTTCAGCTTTCCAGCAGTACTGCTAACTTGCTGTGGCTGATTTTTTTTTTTTTTAAAGATTTTATTTATTTATTTGAGAGAGAGAGAATGCGAGATAGAGAGCACGAGAGGGAAGAGGGTCAGAGGGAGAAGCAGACTCCCTGCCGAGCAGGGAGCCCGATGCGGGACTCGATCCCGGGACTCCAGGATCATGACCTGAGCCGAAGGCAGTCGCTTAACCAACTGAGCCACCCAGGCGCCCGCTGTGGCTGATTTTAAAATTTCCCTTCTGCCCCTCTAGAAGGGGCAACTGCCAGGTTTAGGATCTTAAAAAAAAAAAAAAAACCTCCACAAGTATGTTTCCTATGTCAATGTCAATCTTGGAAAAACATGGACTGCAGGAACTCCTTAAGTAATCATCTTTGGAAAGATGGGAGCCTGGAGCCATAAGCCTCCTCCTAATAAAGGAACTCAAAATAAGCAATTCCTGCCCAGGCTGAGAAACACATACCTGGGAGGCAGATGGAAGTAGTTAGGGAAGAAAACTCCAAATGTTTTAATAGACAAACTCTCATTACCTCAAGAGTATAAATATTTTATAAGTTTTTATTTAAAAGATTCCCTTTTCAATCTGTTCCAAAGTGTTGGGAGCTGAACTGTACAAGTTCCTGCCACCCACCCTTCCAGTACAGTGTTTTGAGGACATGTGTTTTTAGATGGAAAAATAACAAGAGGACCCTCTACTGAAATCAGGTAGGACCAGAGTCAGCTCCTGTGTGGCAGTTTGGCCAAAGCTGGCCTTATGGAGCAAGCACGCAGAGGAGTCTGGGGAACTGGGCCTCCCTCTTGTGAGGAAAGGGCTGAGAAAATTCATCCTCTCTTTAGTGAAGATGGTCCAAATTCAGATGCAAAAGCCTCCATTTATGACGTTCCCTGGCACTCTTCTTATGCTTTATATATTGAAGGCAGCTCCCTCTTTTATGGCCAGTTTTAGCAGGCAAAGAAACAAAGGAATATAGATACATATATGTGTATATATATATTTTATATAGGTAAAATATATACATATCTTATATATGTATATATACATATTTGGGGGTAGGGGAAGGAGAGGAGGGTCATGTAAACCTAAACAGTCATCACATTACCCCAAATGAGCCTGACATTAACAAAGAAGATAATAAATAACTCCTGGGGGTTAAGTGACAACATGGGTGCAGCAAGAAGGGAAAGGGCACACGTTTAACTATTAAATACACTTCTATATTTGTTTGGCAGAGTTCAGGCCAGTCCCAGGCTTCTGCCCTTGCCAGACAAGTAAGCTGATGATACTCAAAAAAAACTTTAAAGAAAAAAAAAAAATTCAAGCAGAGCTCCATACCACAGTTTTCCTTCAAGTCAGTTGGCCGGCAGGCACAGTTTTCCGACCACCAGGAACAGAAACTTTGGCTCCAAGGCAAATGAAAAAAAAAAAAACAAAAGTATTTTCACTTACAACATGAAAATACAGAAAATTCATCAAAAACAGAAAACTATCAAAGTCTACTTCCAGCAAAACTGAGGTAGCACTGCTTTCTCTGCATTCAATGCTTAAGTGGTTCTCAGTACTATGTGTTCTAAAAAAACAAAAAAACTGCTCACTTGACTGACAGGTGCAGCATGTTGATGGATGAACTCAACATGAAATGCAATAGGTCAAAGAAGGAATGAGCAAGAAGTGAAGAAAGTAAGGGTTTCGGATAAATTAGCTTAAAAGGGGGTTGTCACCAGACAACAAATGCTCTTGGCTGGCCTTGGCTCTCCAAGAGCTTTAAATCACCTGGGAATTAATGCATTATGGTTAACAGTTAACACTGCTATTCAATTCTGTGTAAATCTTTTAAAATAATTATTACAACCTAAATTCATCCTTGTAAACAGCACTACACACAGTACAGACCTGCCCTGGAAAACAGAATATGCAAAACTGAGATCTGGCACTGTATCATCTTGTAATGTTAATTCAACCTAACCGTCCCATTCCCCCCTCCCTGCTCTATGCCCTCCCCCACAAAAAAATCTAATTTGTGCAAGAAATGGCAGGCTTATTCTATCTGAAGGCTTCAAAAAAAAAAAAAAAAAAACACAACATGTATCCAGGTTCAAATATTTTGGGGGACCCCCCCAAAAAGAAATAACCAAAAAGTGAAGAAAGTGCCTAAAACATGATACAGCATTTTAGAGCCCTTTCAGATACAAGGCAGAGAAAGGTGTAAAGTAGAAAATATCTGGATCTTCAGTAATTTCCAGAAAGGTCCAATTCCTCGGTTGGCTGCAGGGCAGCAGGCAGACCCTTGCTGCTACTGCTGCTCCTGGGCTAGAGCCACTAAGTCTGCTCCCCGGGACACAAGCCCTCGGGCCCTGAGCTGCGTGCACCTCTCCCTTCCCCTTCTCTTTTCCTTCGCTCCATTTCCCACTCCACAAAGGTGTCGAAGAGACTTGGCCAGGCCTCATCTTCACTGTAGTTGCTGAGGTCAGGCCCAATCACCTGAGTGAAGTTAAGGAACATGTTCCAAGTGTCCCGGGAGATGCCCTTGATCCCCGAGGGGTTCTCAGTTAGGAAGTTTAGCCACTGGTCCAATACTGGAGGGTTGTTCTGGGTAAAGACTAGTTTCCACAGGGCAATGGCTATTTCCCGATGCAGTGACCGCTGCCCTTCTTCAGAGTCCAGACCAAACTGAAATGTAAACCGGTAGAGATCCTTGAATTTATCCTCTTGTTTGGCTTCCGTTAAGAGGCTAGGGAACCGTGCACAGATCCCATCAATGCTGTCTGCACTTATTGCTTTGCAGCCATCAAAAAACTCCTTCCTGCAACAGGAAGGAGGGGGCACAATTAATATTTGTAAACAATACCATCTGCTAAGAGGCAATATAGCAAAGTTAAGAGCATGGCTTTGAGGCTAGACGGCCTGCATCTGAATTCCAACTCCTCCACTAATGAGTCCTATTTCTTCATCTGTCAAATGGTGAGAACACCACCTTACTTCATAGGGTTTTGGTGAGGACTAAACACGTTAATATGTGTCAACTGCTTCTAACAGTGTCTGGCACATGGTAGGCAGCTGATGGTGGTTGGTTCATTCACTTATTCATCCTTCCAAAGTGAAACTCCAGTCTCTCCTGCTCGATGCCCTATTTCCCATTCTGCCACAGTGATTAAGCCACAGACTCCCCTCCCAGACGGGGAGTCTTCCTGCTTTCCTGCTTTCCTTTTGATTCTCTATGGGTTGTTTGTTTTTGGAATACTTTTGGTGACTGCCAAGGGAGATCTTTGGAGCCAAAGATTCTGGATAAACCTGGCTAACTCTGCCACCACAGATCAAAGTTCTGTTATTAAAAAACAAAAACTGCATATGTATTTTTAACATCTACATAACACTTTCAGGTTACAACATGGTCTCTCACTGATGATCATCTCAGAGACTGCTTTTCAGCTGAAGATACAAGGCATCTGAAGTCTGTCGGGCAACCTCCTGGGGGGGGGGCGGGGGGGAGGTATCTCAAAAACCAATTCTTATTTATAAGCCGGTGCTCTGCAAACCACACCTTGGGGTGACCTTGCCACCCCCTCCCCACAAACAACCTCTGCAGGCCACAGGGCCATGGTGATGTGCACGCGCACTGACGGAGGCGCTCCCTGGACCGGCGCACACAGTGCCTGGCACACGACAGGTGTAGATAAATATCAAGTGGGTGAGGGAGTGAGGGAATCGACAAGTAACGGAGCAGAAGCAAAGAGAAAGGTCCGAAATGGCAGTGGGGCTGGGCAGCAGAGTCCAGCCCCGGGGCGTCATGTGGGTTATTCCTTAACTTCAGGCCAAGACGGTCGTTACTGGTCAAAAAAAAAAAGACTTACCCAAAACCCTAAGAAGCCAACCCAGTTCTCCCCCAGCTGGGCCCCACTGCCCAGGAGTGCACGCATCCTCCTCCGCTCACCTGGTGACATGACGTATTTGTGACTAACCTGGTGAATTTGCACATGGTGGCAGCCTGGAACTTCCAAGCCAAGAGCAGCACTCGAAATTCCGTGGGGTCAACACACAAGTCATTGCAAAAGCGCTCCATGCCTTCCTCCAAAATTGCATCCTCCCGCTCGTCCTTGTAGCGCCTGAACAGTTCTTCCAGCCTCTGCAGGGAAGACTCCTCGGCGTCGGACTTGGGCTCCCTCCCAGCATCTCCAGAGGACGTCGGCAGCTGCCAGGCCTCGGCGGCGGCCTCTGCCTTCTTGGTCCCATTGACGAGGATATCCCCCCCTGGCTTGCCACAGGCCGGTGGCTGTTCCTCTCGGTGGCCTGCGCTCCGCCTGCTGTGTGGCTTGCCGCCGGGGTCACGGTCTCCGTTCTTGCTGCCCAGGGTCGATGAGGGATTCTTGCACTTGGTGACGCACTGGCCCATGGTGCTGGTGGCCTGGCCTCTAGAGTGGCCCCCTCTGGATCAGATGCCCTCGCTGCCACTGGCCCATGTGCCTCAACATGCCATCAGCCAGAGGAGCCAGCCAACCTAGAAGAAAATTACAGAGCAGTTATCACTGGACAGGGAGACGGGCATTTGCAAGCCACCATTCCCTTCCCCTGTGGGGCACCCTGGGCCACCACTCTATTTCCGTGAGCCAACCATGAACCAGGGGAGATACCCAGAGTCCATCACCACCTCCCCCACCCCGTAAGCTCTACACCTTCACACTGGAAATGCAGGGCTAGGACACATACGGAGAACCAATAAGAAAATTCCTAAAATTCTTAAGGTAACACAGGTTACAAAGAGGTTGATTCATGTGCAGAACGCATCAAGGAAGACTACAGTTTTGCCAGAAATACTCCAGAAGAAATCTGTCTTGCCAACTTGCCATCACATAAGAAAGTTATTTGGTCCTGGGTTAAGCCAGAAGGTGCACATAAAATTCTAGTCTCTCATGTCAAAATCCTCAGATTTTCTTTTTAAGTGGGACGAGTAGGGAGAAAGGGAGGCCACATTTAAGATGACTATACAATAGTTTCATAATGGCCTCAAGATGAGGTAAAGGATTTGTGGAGTCAAGACTACAAGCAATGTCCTAGCCAAATAGCAAAGGAAAATTTGTCTCTGATCTCTTCAAATTCCTTTCTGGAACTCCCCCACACAGTAGGTGAAATGCCCTTTCTCCACCCTTCCTCTGCCCACCCACAGGAGCCAACACCGACCACGGTTCCCAGGCCTCCGGTTTCTTTTTCTCCCCCTACCAGGTCCTCTGCGAGGCTGCAGGAAGAGTACAAGCCAAGCCCACACTAAACAGGAAGGTCCTACAAGGCCTGCAAGCTCAGTCCTCCAAGGGGGTGTCCTCCACCTTAAAAGAAGGGCTGATTTATCCACACATCTCTTAAATGGTAGGATAACTGCTAGATAAAAAAGAAAAGTCTGCACAGATAGATTACAAACTCATCATGGTGGTTTATTTATTACTTATGCTATTTAAAAGTGTTTTTTAAAGAATTGCTAGAAATTTCCTGGCTAGGGGTGAGGTGATTTCTCTGCAACCTCTGTCTTCTCAGGACTTTATTCTTAACTTCAACTAATCCACGAGAAGCTCCAGCTACAACTTAGTACCTGTAAAATTCTACCTGCTGCCATTAACTGCAGCCACCAGAATTACAATGTTAAGAGAACCTGAGACCAGGAGCCAGAAGTATAGCAGGTAAAGGGGACCAAAATCAAGGTCAGTCCCATGCCTCTCCAGCTCTAGAAGAAGCTTTCATGGCCCTTTGTGATCCAAATCCAAAGCTCTTAGGAGACAGGCAGAAGGGTGCTTTTTATAAAGGTTGGACCTTTACACTTTACCTAAAGAACTTTCATTTCCTCCAAATGGTGCCTGGATAAATTTGGGGTTATCTTCAAAAGGAATCCTATGGGTAAATTCTGAGTGTACAAATTTAAAATGATGACCAAAATCATTCTTATAACTTATCGGAGAATCATCGTATCAGGGTGTGTCCTATTCTCCACCCTCAAAGAGAATAAGTGACAGAGAGACATGCCCATACATGCCCTCAAAAGACTTGCAGTTCCACTTAGGCTTCAAAAACCAAAACAAAACAACAGCAACAAAAAAAACCCCACTGAAACCCTATAAGGGTTTTCTGCTGTGGAAAAAGACAGACCCAAGTATGTTTTCTTAAGTCTTTTTATGCTTTAATAGTATAGCGAATAAACCATAAGCACAACCTATTAAAATTTTAAAAGGCAAGGGGTTAATTCTTGGAAGACCAGCATACAAGGAAAGCAACTGTTCAAGCTGAATTATCTCAAAAACAAGCAGGACTATACCATGTGGAAGGTCTGGTTTCCAGATTTGTGTTTCTAAAGACTACAGTGCTAAAAGAAACAAAAGGCCCAAACTTACACAAACCCCACATGCTCACAGACTGGCAACTCTAATTCCCAGGCACGCTGACTCACCAGGGTTTGCTGCTCAGCTCCTGCTGCTAAGTGAGGCCCAGGTACCTGGCAGGATAAGAGGATTTCCTGGCCTCTGTCTGACCCACCTACCCCAGGCCACTTACCCCCACCCCCACAGGACAGATGCTCCATTGTACCAGCTTCCTCTCCAAATCCTGGCGCCAAGGCCTTCAGGTAGGGACAGAACAGATGGGCCTCCCAAAGAGGCCCTAATCCCATTTACCCAAACGGCCCTCCACATAAGAGCATCTTTTGATGACCCGACACAGTAGAACCTGAAGGCTTTTAACATGCCCAGCAGATGAGAAAAAGGAAGGGAAAAATCAATTTGAACAGATGATCAATCAGCTAGTACCAGAAGGTCAGATCTCTTTCTTCCATTCTGGTCCCTTTCTGTGAAATGCCCCCACTCCGGATGAGGGTTGAGGCAAATGATCTCAAGCCAGAAGAAAATATTTTCAGATCTGATGGTGACTACAGCCCCTGATTATTCAATGGCTTCCCTTTTATGTCTGCCTCTTTCCCCGGGAAAACAGTTCTGCCCCCAGAGCTTTCCCCAGGCTCCGTCTTGCACAAGCCCAGTGTCCCAGGCTGACAGCACTTCAAGTGTTTTAAAGTTGGAAGTCTCCTTGGACTCGCTAGCTGATGGCTAACAGCTAATAATAGCAGTTATCAATTATTGAACACTTGATATCATGCCTGGCACTACGCTAATAAGCACTTTATGGACATTACAACTCATGTAATCCTCACCACAACCCCATTTGAAGACAGGAAAACTGAGGCCCAAAGCAAATCATCCAACATCACACAATGTCTGGCTTGAGAAACACACCTTTAGCACTAGGCTAGACCGCCGAGTCCACCTCCAGCAGAGTGCCGAGGGAAAGCCCACCAACGGATGGGTCCTGAGCTCCAGAGTCACCACAGCGATCCGAGAACAGCAAGTTTTACCATCAGCCGCTGGAAAGAGCAAAACACACTGTCCGTGCCCAGTGCTCAGGAAGGGTTGTCCTACCCACTGCCCTCTCCCAGCGAGCCCTGCCACCGTGATCCAGGCAGTCATGATGCCCTTGGACTCAGCCTTGCCAGAGATGCCCTAGAGCAGTGATGTTTCAGTCCATCGGCATGGTTAAAAGCTCCGACCTGGAAATCAAAGCTCAACTCTGCCAGTGATTATTGTTGACCCTGATCGAAGCCTGTATCTCCTCAACCTGCAAAATGGTATCTGCCTCACAGAGCTGTTGTAAGGATTCCGTCAGGAAATGCAGATAAAGGGTACCTGCCGCACAGTGGGCCCCCCCTTCCCGGAAATGACCGAGGACAGCTATCATTATTATTAGCAGCCAAGCAGTAGCTGGTTAGCCTGACGAAAGCCCGAGCTTGTCCCATGTGAAAACGGGCTTGGGCTCAGCTTTCCCAGGCCCGGCCAGGACACCTACCCCTGCCTTGAGTCCTGTGCTTGGGTCTTGTTGAAGAACAGTCTCTTGAACCACAGCACCGACCCTGCTCAAATGCACCACTGCCCAGAGCACCTGCAGGATAGGGTTCTCCATAGGATCAGACTTCCTTGTGATTGATGCTGAGTATAATCAAGCTGGGTATTTGCTGTGCTCTAGGGACACCTTGAACCCAGTGGGGCAAGCTTCCAGCTAGTTCCAGACTCCTTTCCCCTTGGTCCTAACTCTGTAGGTTTAAAAAAGACAGGATTTCTAGCTTGATATACTCATTTATACTTTAATGGAGCTGCCTTTCCAGCGGGTCATCCCAGTCGCCTCTCTGAAGTAGAAAGCCTCAGCACAATCTGAGCACCCCAAAAGCCAAATTTCATCAGCATCAGAGCGCCATTATTAACAAATACCACCCTGTATTTGGTAGTACGTTATAATCACTATACATAAATGTAGCTCTGTGGAATAGTTACTATGCCCATTTCACAGGAAAAGAAATGGAGGCATAGCAAGGTCAAAGAGCTATCTAGGAAGGGAGAAAACAGGGGCAGAGTAATTAGGAGGATGAGTTCTTGGAGCAGACAAACCTGGATGTGAATCATGCTGATGGCACCAACATGTGACTATCAGCATTCACTTTAAAATGGGGCAGCTGTACTTCAAGTCGGAGTAAAGGAGATAATCCACGTGAGATGCTCTGCCCACAGAAAGTATTCAGGAAGTGTTAACGTTTATCATAGCTGCTGCCGTTATTGCCAAGTCGGTGACAGAATCAAGCCTCCCTGCTCCTAGAACAGTGCTCTTTTCAGTGGCCAGTGCGGCTCTTGGCGGGGAGGGGGGGGGCGGGGGCAGAGGGGGCAGCTCAGGTATGCAGGACTCCCCAGGTACCCAAAGCAGCTCCCAAACTCCCTGTCCTCACAGGGACTCTGCTCTCCTGCTTCTCCTAAGGGGCATAAAGAGATGAATGGAGCCAGGGGCAGGGAGAAAGGCAAGGCAGGAAGAAGAATAAAGAAAACACGCACATACACACACCCCTGGAAACCTACCTCTCAGCACAATTGTATAGTTTTGAGGTTTACCTGAAAGATCGATGCCAGTAACTCTGCTCAGTTTTTGCTGGATCAGGCTCAGCCTCCAGCTTTTCTCCTTCAATCTCGCTCCAGATGCTTCTGTCACCCTCCCTCTCTGCAGAGCGGCCCCAGCCCCCTGCTGCCTGCGCCGTGCCAGCCCTGGCTGTTCGTGGGGGCGGGCCTGGCCGCCTGCCTGGAGCTGGCACTGCCGGGCCGGGGGCAATCCCAGGGGCTGTGGTCCCCGCTGCTGCTCTGGCTCCAGAGAGGGATCAGGAGCTGAGCTACCTCATAGGCAGTTCCATGAAGTGAGGTGCGGGCAAGTCCCTGGGTCTCCTGGGCTTACTATCTACTGCTGAGACAGAAGGACCTGTTATGGGAGAGAAGGACCATGAAGGGCTACACCACACAAGGACACAGAGTGACTGGAGACAGGAAAAGGAGAGAGGAGTGTGAACTAGCATTACGGAAAGAAAGGTGGAGGGGCTGATGAGGGGAAGTGGTATGTGCGGAACACGGGGCTGCCTGCTTCCTCTGCATCATCGCCTTC